CTGGAACTTCATCATCATCATCCTCTCCGGTAGCAAGTGGTGCTTTTCCATCCACAGATTGTTTGGGCAGAGCTTCAGCCAGTCTTAAACTAGTCAGACTGTCTGCTCCAAGTTGGTTTGAGATACTGGGTAGCATTTCTGTCCGCCGCTTTGTCTCAGCGTGGCCTGGAATGGTGAAAGTGTTCGCTGCCAGTGATGCCTGAACTTCGGGGTTGTTAAAGTGGAGCACTGTTCCTTGGTCTGTGAACATATTCACTTCTTCAATACCAGAGATATTGTTTACCCCTAACTTCTTTAAGGAGAACTGAAGTTTTTTATCATCTGCTGTAGCCGCTCTACGAACCACCTTCTTCTTTCGGCAAGCAGTTCCTTTCCCACCAATGCGCACTTGTGCTTGCAGTGTGGCGAGTTTCTCCTGGTTCATGACAGTTTCTTTCATCTTGTTGGAGCGGAAATGGGACCGCGCCGGGGACTATGGTTGGCCCTCAGGGGGTCTCGGGCGGACCAGCTGAGATTGGGTGCACCTGTTTTGCTTTTCTAAATAGACATCATGACCTGGCCTGATGAGGAAGTCTAGAGGACTGGGGTGGCCCACAGGGGAACAGTGGCTTGACATTTAAGAGGGATTCAGGTAGTAACTCCATCCCAAGAGAGAGAGAGGTGCAGGAGGCACCGTGGCTTCACAGCCAGTGGGCGTGCAGGGGGGGCCTTGCCGCTACACCTCTACCCCCGCCGACGTCTGGCCCAGAGGCAGGGATGCAGGCCCCATGCTGCAGTAAGAGACTGAGAGAAAAACGCAGGGGCTGGCTGGGTCCCAGTCCGGGAGAAGTAGATGGAAGTGGTGGAGGCTGTGGCCCTGAAGCCACCATATTTGGGGGTGGAATTCCATTTTTTTTATGGGCATCCTCACCGACCTTGGGAAAATTATTTAACCTGCCCAGTCCTCCATTTCTTCATCTGGAAAGTGGGGATAAAATCCTACTTGCCTCATAGGTTGTTATGAGGATTAAATGAGTTAATACACACAAAGTGCTTAGAGAAAGCCTGGCATCTGGCAGGTTCTCAATATATGTTCCCTGGGACTATCTATTCTATGAGTTATCAAGATTGTGGCAGATGACAATCTGGCTTTCCTAAATATCTTTTTGTATCTTTGCATTTCCTTGCCCTTCTCTGCTTTGTCATCAGGGAGGGCATATTGAAACGCCGAAAGCAACAGGCCCTTGAGGGCCTCTGGGCAAAGAGTGCATAATGTATGACCTCGGCTTTTCCTGTCTCCTCCTTCCCCACAGTGAGATGACATTCCTCCCAGCATAGGATAAGAATAACCAGACGGAAGCAGTGGAAGCAGATGCTGTTTGTTACTCGAAGGGGACTGCATCTTTCTCCTCTTAACTCCCGGAGTCCTCAAAGGAGGAGAAAGTGGACAGAACGATCCAGACAAGTCCAGGGAATCTGGAGCCAAGTCGAGTGCCTCTGTGCCCCTTCTCAGAACTTGAGTCAAGAGATCTGCCTGGGTGGCCAGGTCATCCATAGAATGATTTCCCCTGAACTCACTGTGAGGCCAGTGATGGTGAAGGGCCAGAGACAGTCCCAGAAGATTCTCTGAGGCTCTAGCGTGGCATGCAAATAGCCGTCAGAGAGCTCTGTCTAAAAGGCCTTTAGGATCAGACTCAGGGGACACAAAGCAGCTAACTTCACTGATGTCCAGGAGGACCCCCGAGGAGCCAAAGTACATCACAGGGGAGGAACCAAGGACTAGGAGCTGCCTCCTCCCTCCCCCAGACAACACAGAGGAGCTGTAATCCCCTGGAAACGTACATGCCACCTGGGTGGTAAGAGAGGGGCTCTGAATTCACTGAATTTCTACTGCCCCTCAGAATGGGTGCTTAAAGTAGAAAGTGAGTGAAGTCATAAATCAAGGGAATTATGTTGACTGCTCCCCTGAGTGAAATGTTACCCAAGGCAACAGCAGCTTCTGTTCAGACGGGGAGATGGTGCCATGCGCAGGCAGCCGGCATTTGGGGTATGTACACTGGCAGGCATCAGTGGCATGACGTGTGAGATCGCTTTTGTTTTTGCTATATACTCGGACTTTATCAAATGCTCACTATGTGTTAGGCACTGTGCTAAGTTCTAAAATGGGATTGTCTCACTGCATCATTCAAAGCACTGTGGGATAAATACTATTATTATTCCCAATTTACAGATGTTAAATTGGAGGCCTAGAGAGGTCAAGGTTACACTTTTAGTATGTGATGGGCCTGGGATTCAAGTCCAGGAAGACAGTTGATATGGCCTGTGCAGCAAAGTGCCATGATAGCCCGCCTCGCTTAGACAATGATCAATGGCAGACCCTGGGCAGACACTGGTGTTGTCAGGAATGGGACACCTCCCCAAAGGGGCATGTGCAGGACAGGCGGAATGCATGGCTGCCTCTTGGAGCCAACAGGACTGATTGGCAGGTCACGCTGAAAAAATCCTAACATAGTTAAGAGGGATTTGAAGGCTAGCGAGGGTCCTTACTTAAGGGGGCCAAACTAGAAGAAAATTATAATTGTATCATTACCATTATGATCTTATTTTTGTGTCCAGGCTGATGAGGCTGGGAAACAAAGGCCATACAATCAGCATCCCTACCTATTAGAGAGAAAGTAAATGGATGGTACCTGGTGACATTGTCTTTTAGCATCCAGTGTTGCTGATTCCGATGTGACTCTCATTACTACTTTGTTGTTAACATAATTATTCTCAATGGGTTTTTATTTTAGGATCTTCTCTTAGGCCTTAGTCTCCTGAAATTCCCTAATGATGGGAGCAGTGTGGACTTCATTCCCCCTGTTTGGCATTCATGCATCATTTCAATCTGAATCATTAAGTCCTTCCTCAGCCATGGAACACATTGTCCAATATAATAATCCTTGGTAACACATGTACCATCCATTTTGACTTCTTTTTTTCTAGAATCCATTAGTTTTATGTGGAACCCTCATGAATTAGCGCTCTAAGGCTTTTGTTTGTTTCTCTTTTAGTCTTCCATCTTGTTGTCATGATGCTTTAGATCCTGGGAAATCTTGATTTTACTTTAGCACTTTTCTTTTGAAATTATTTTAATTTTCAGAAATTATGTTTTTTGCTTTTGTTTATTTATTTTTTAAAGATTTTATTTATGTATTTGCTAGAGAGAGCACAAGTAGGCAGAGTGACAGGCAGAGGGAGAGGAGAAGCAGGCTCCCCGCTGAGCAGGGAGCCGAATGCGGGGCTCGATCCCAGAACCCTGAGATCATGACCTGAGCCGAAGGCAGACGCTTAACCATCTGAGCCACTCAGGCGCCCCTGTTTTGTTTTTTGTTTTTTTTTAGAAATTATGTTTTTAATACCAAAGAGCTCTTTTTTTTATTGTTGCTCTGGTTTCTTTTTTTAATGGCATATATATATATATATGTATATATACACACACACACATACTATATATATGCACTATATATATATGTGCATATATAGTGCATATATATAGTAGGTGCAAAATTGTCTCAAGTCTCTCTGAGAACTCTAATGGGGGTGTTATTGTTGTTTTTAACTTCTCTTCTGCTCCCTGAATTATTTCTAATTCCTCTGGGATAAGTTTCTGCTATTTGTACCTACGTGAGGTGATGAATGTGTTAATTAACCTTATTGTGATAATGATTTCATAATATATATGCATACCAAGTCACCATGTTGTACATCTTAAACTTACATGATGTCATATGTCAGTTATATGTCAATAGAGCTGGAAAAAATAAAAATAAAATAAATTATTTTGACTCCTATAAATAAATAAATGGACAAACAAATGAATTTAAAAAATGAATGGATGAATGAGTGAATGAATAAATAAATAAAAATAAAGATGCTGGTATATTCTGCCTAGTGATCCTTGGTTTTTCTACTTATATTTAAAACAAAGGACTGGGGGCGCCTGGGTGGCTCAGT